TGTGTTAGCTAAGCAAGGGGTAAATAGGGAAGAATTATTTTGGGCTCAGTTGTGATTATTGTTTTTCTTTCCTAGTTTACTTGTAAGACTCAAGGAGGGGCTGCAGCTCGTGCCTCTCGTTGGGATGATTATGAACTCACTCTAAAGTTGCTTCTGAATCAATAAACTTATTATTATTCATCAAAAAAAAAAAAAAAATAGAACAGCTGTTATGGGGACAATGTAATGATGTTAATATTGTAAGATTATATAACAAAGTTGGGTTTAGGTGGCAAATACCAGCCCAAACCAGTGGGGTGGTAGTAATATTTCAAGTTATTATTTCAAAAAAATATTTCATTCTTTTAATAATATTTCAAGTTACTATTTCATTCTTTCATTATTTTAATAATATTTCAAGTTACTATTCAAAAGAATTAAAAAAAATATTACTGATTATTAAAATCTTAATTAGTTTGGGTCTCTCTAAATAATTTTTTAATGATGATTTATAGATGCATTTTTCCATGGGCATCTTTCCTTTACAGCTAATGGAAAATTTTGGTTGCTTATTATTGCATGTAAGGTGTGGGAAGAAGCATCAAAAGCAGTAAAGGATGAGGAAGCACTAAAGCAAAAGCTCTGTGATGATCTAAACCAGCTGGTATATTTGCATTTATTCATACATCTACTTTTTAATGAAGGGTGTGCAATAAGTCCTGTTGATGTTGCATTATAGGTCCAAGAAAGTAGTGCCACTCAATTTTATAGACTGGAGGAATTGAAAAAGCGACTTGAAGCTCTAAATCCAAGCAGGGCATCTACCTCTAGCCTGAATCATGTAAGTTCTACCTCCACTACACTGCAGTGTTGTCTGTATGCAATGTAGTGGCATCTGTCACATTTCTATAGAGATGGGCGAAGTTCAGAAGTCCAACATTGCTAAATACATTGGGTTTAGAAATAATATTTCAGGAATATATCATTAATTGCTTGAAGCTGACTCCATATAATTGGGACCACTGATTTAAAAGGCATAGGTGAGGCACATTTGCCCCAGGTGCAGCATTTTGAAAAGGCATGCACCTGGTGTGCGTAGTTGTCAAGGTGTTGCCTAGGCGACTAGGCGCCCTTGGCTGGGTACCTTGCCCGAAAGCCTTGACTTTTAGCAACTAGGCACCCTTCTAGGCGACTAGGCGCCCACCTAGGCGGATAAGCACCCGCCTAGGCAACAAAAATGACAAGGCGGGCACCTTTTACAATATCACTTATATTGTTGTATCACATTAATGTATGTGTTGATACATTTTATTATATGCTATATATATTTACTTTGTTTTAATGTTTTACTATTGAAATTTAAAAGATCTAAGAGTTTTGAGGAGAGAAAAAGAAAGAAAGAAAGAAAAAAAAGAAAGAGGAAAGAAAGAATAGAATTATAAAGAGGATTTTTTTTCTATTCTCTCTCTATAATTAAATAAAATAGAAATTCCATCCTTGTTTTTTCTATTTTACTTTCCATCTTGAATATTTATCATATAAAGTTAATAACCTTTTTAGCTGCTAATTGATATGAAATTACTCTATTAAAACTTATTATAGCAGTATTATTTGCCACATTTTTAGAGGAAATTTAATGTTCTTAATAAAGAGAATTGCTATTTTTTCACATAATATACATGCTGAATGGTATGTAAAACTAGGGAACTAACCAAAAGCTAGTTTTTTATATTATAATATTTTTATCGCCTAGGCAACTAGGCACCCCAGTGTCGCCCAGAATCGCCTAGATGCCTTGAAATATGTGCCTTTTCAAGAAATATGGAAATATTAGGGTTATTCTGAAGAATGTTTTTAAGTGCGCACTTTATACATGGAATGCTTGAGGAAGAGTGGTAAGACTGAATAGGGAAATTTTACCCTGCCTTTGTGCACTTGTTAACCAGCAGTGCATACCATCATTCAGTCGATCTCATCTAAGAGATCGTCACCATAATTTGTTCAAATTGTATTTTCCTACCTTAGCAAACTAAAGAGAAATTTTCTTGATTTCCAGTCAATCCCTAGGTATTCATGGTTTACTTATTCCTGTCGGATAAAATTTTTCCTTGATTTCCATTAGTTCTAACCACCAAATGATTGATTCCTATCCTTTGTCCTTGTGCTGATGCTCTAAACAGGCAGGGAGGAGACCTCCCATTCTTGTATTGGTGCCATGGGATTCCTGTTTATTTGTTTGTGCATTTGTGTTTGAACATGGATATTATGCTTGCATGCATATGCATGCGTGTGTGCATGTGATTGTGGAATATGTAGATGCTAAAACTTTCAGTTTATCTTTTGTTGTATGTATAGGATGGAAAATTAGTAAAACCTCCACAAAGCATCACAGCTACTCCAGACGTTTCCTCCAGTCCTTTAAAGGAATCAGTTGGTCAAATAACTGAAAATGTACCCAGTCAAAGAAATGATGGTAATGTAGTACCTGCAAAGGGTCAGAATCAACAGCCATCTGTTGAGGAAGAAAGAAAAGGAAAGAAAAGAAGTATGAATCTAGGAAGAGGGAGGGGAATTGGGGCTTATCCCAAGGGGAGAGGATCATCTGGGCCTGGCTGGACTGGTGCTGGGTTTGATGTGGATGGCAGGACTTGAGCAAAAGGCCATTTGAAACTGTTTTGTAAGGTTGTGTGATGAGGAAGCCAACTTTTATCATCCTTGTAGGTATTGTATTGACCAACTATTCTTTTTCTCCAAAATTTTGTAACCTCTCAATCCGTTCCATTCTATGTATTCCCTTTTAACCTGTAGTAATAAATATTGGATTTGACCTGTTTGTTTATTTGCCACTTCAGACCTGTATATATTAGCATTGATTTTTCACTTCTTACCAAACGCATGATCAATTAAAAGAACATGGAAAACCTTTCTTTTTTTTTCGCTTGAATTTTGTCAGTAAGCTGGAAAATAACCAGCTTTTGTCTTGGTATTGAACTCTAGTTTCCACTGTAATGCACACTGTATTCTTAAATAACTTTTGTTTCTATTATTTTTAGTTGCTCCTTTGTATTTTTAGTTTCATTACGAATTCATTCCATCTTTGACATTTGATCTTTTTTCATCCTTCATTAAATCCTTCGGTACCTCCCCTATATTCATCTGGTTAGGAGTTAGGTCCTTTCCACTCTATAATATAATGCTTGCACATCCAGTAACTTATCATGTTGTGATCATCATTAAACCATTTTATTTGTTCTATCTCTCTTGCTTACGCCTTTGGGTTGTCAAAGAACTGGGCCTGGGCTTGATGTCAAGAACTAATAATTGGGCTCCAGATGTCCCGTCGAGGTAACGGCCCAGTCCATTGATTCATAAACCATGCGTTTTCTTTAAAACGTTAACGCTCAAGCTATGTTATCTTTTCCCTATCAAGAATTTTAGCTCTTCCCTAGACCGGAAACTATTAACTACTTTGATCTTCATTTGGTATTGATTCAGGAAACCCTTATTTTAATCCTTTGCTTTTTTGGGTTTAATCTAGAAGAGACCCGTGCCATGCATGAGCTGGTGACATGTTACATTCAGTTTCTTAACTGAATTGGTTGTGGGTGAGATTAGATAGCCTCATAGCCCCGCATTTATTTATTTATTTTTTTACATATTACTAATAAAATACTTCTTTATAGTTTGCAACTGCTTTACTTAATAATCTTCCATCAGGAACCATTTGCATCTTCATCTTGTAATGAGTTCAGGGTTTTTAATGAAGTAAAACACTCCCGCCACATTATAACATGGTCTAAAGAAGATGTAGAGTATGTATATATAAGATTTACTCCGGGTAGTTTTGGAATAAAAATCCCTATATCAATGCCTTTTCACAATTTTCGCTTGTTCTAAGTGGTCACTTAACCATTTCCAAATGGTAAAATACAAAGCGTTTCTAATAGAGGTTTGATTAAGTAAACCAATTGCAAACTATAGAGGATCTTTTAGTAATATGAAAATTACAGGATAGATTTTAATAAACATATAAAATTATATGGGTGTCTAAGTAAATAACCCTAAAATGATATATATTGTTGGTTCAGAGAAAGGAGAAAAGAAAAACAAAATGAGGTATTACAGCTTGCAGTCTTTAGCTAAACTTGGTTGTTTTTCATGTTCTGAGGTACTTCAACTCAGGAAGGGAGCTTGACGTGGCTTTATGCTTGAACACCCAAGCCCCATATTATAGCTGTTATATATCAGAGTCATTTCTCCATGGCATTTTTGCCGGGCCAATGCCATGTAGGTGTTTTGCTTTTTCTTTTTTGTTTAGTTGTTAAATGTTTTTAAGCCATTTGATTCAACAAGAGCCACTTTTTGAAGAAAACATCATTTTAATATTTCTTGTAATAGAGACAACATTTTTACTATTTTGCCTGTGGCACCTAATGAGTAATGACACCTGGGTGGCACCAAATATAGATATAAAATATGCACAAACACATGGAATTAACTTTATCCAATTCCAAGGAGGGGCAGTTGCATGAGAAAAATTAAAGAATTAGCCTGCTTGTTATTATGGATTTGTACTCGTCAACAGCAAGCTACTCACTTAGTTGACGATCCTTGGTATAAAATTATAGAATTTGCCCTGTTTGTTATTATGGGTTTGTACTCGTCAACAGCAAGTTACTCACTTAGGTGACGATCCTTGGTATAAAATTAAAGAATTGTCCTGTTTGTTACTGTGGATTTGTACTTGTCAACAGCAAGCTGCTCACTTAGGTGAACAATCCTTGGAAAGAATTTGCTTGTTTGTTATCGTAGGTTCTCTCCATAATTTGTACTTATCATCAGCAAGCTACTTACTCACTTAAAGAACTTACCTATTTGTTATCCTAGATTTTCTCCCTACTTTGTACTTGTCTCAGTTGTCATCAACACTTTTAATGCTATTTTAATAAAATATAAATTCTCTTCCTAAAACTAACCTTGGAAAACATTTAAACATCTGTTCATCAAATTACCTAAGTATATATACATGACTACTTTTCTTCTTTCATGGACGAATAATTCCAATACCATAGCTTTACCATATGCCAAATGGGTCCTATTCGTATCGCCCATAAGTAATCCCTTGAGACTTGAGAGTCATGTGGTGTTGTTGGCCCGGTTCAAAATCTTGGTCAAACAAACTCAAAACTCCGCCCAGTCAACTCAAGTACTCAGCTGATACTTAAAGTACACTCAATCAAGGCGTCAACTTGCTCTCTTCTACAACTTGTCCAGAGAATCAATTAGATTTGACCTCACTTAATATCTCTTTTAAGATAGTTTTTCTAATCTTAAATTCTTGATTAATTATTCTTACTAATATACTGTTGTGTCCAAGTCCGACCATAGGAAATTAATATGAAGTACCAATTAATGTATCAGATCAGCCATTGGGTTTTAACATACTGGGACTTGGTGAAGATACTCTTAATCGCTTACATCATGACTTAATCGGGCAAAGAATGAAGCTTCTCACTGCAGCTATAAATGTATCCTCAGTCCTCAAACAGCACGCAGCTTCTTAACATTTCCTTCCTATTAATCCATGCTGAGTCGTTTTGTGTCAACATGCTCTTTCCTGATGAGAAGCATTTTGGGGGGTTTGTTAATCCTTACTTAACATTAATTCTTAGGTCACTTAGTATATATGCTAGGTTTGGTTAAAATTTTATTACAAATTAATAATTAGTATTTGATTCAGTCAAAAATATATATGTATTTTTTTATTTGAAGCTAAATCTTTCGTCTTAAAGAATTAATTCTCAGAACGAATTTAGGCCTGTTTGGTTTACGGGAATAGAGGTTTGGAATCCAAAGCAAAATGGGTTATTCCGATTCTAGCTATTTGGTTTGACAAAATCAGAATCCCATTTTTATTCTTGATGAAGTGACATTTTTCCATTTGAGGGAATGGATGGCTATTTCCTCCCATTTGGGAATGAAATCCCATCATCTCATCTCATTCTTGCTGATTCTATTTTTATTAACAGACTATAAAAATAAAATATTTTAATTCCAATTCCAATTATTACCGTAAAGCAAACGGACCCTTAGGTCAAGAATCCCAATTAAAAATAATTATTAGAATCACAAAATTCATCGGAATTAATTCGCTGAAAGCATGCCAAACACAGTCTTAAATTACTGTAGAAACCAATTATGATGCTCAGAGCCAAAAGTATCAGTGCATCGATCGATGTTCCATCACTCTCCAACTATTTCCACAGAATGAAGGATGGAAGGAACGAAACTAGATTTCCATGGTTTATGCAGTTGGACCACATGTCAATGTCTCTCTCTCTCTCCCAGGAGCCACGGCGGGAGCCTGTACGTACTGCCTTCCTTTCCTGAAAGGGCGCTGCAATGCTCCGACCCGTAAAGGAAATGAAGACTCCCACTGTGTTGTCAAACAGTGTCAAAATAAGTAGTATGGATCTATGACCATTCCCAAGTCTGCTAGTACTACAAGCTACAACCTCTTTCCCTCTCTCTCTCTCTCTCTCTCTCTCTGTACCTCTCTACCTACAACCTTCCCTTCCCAACTAAAATTACAGCCTTTCCGGGAAAACCCAGAAGCTAGATGCTATGTGGGCCGACACTGCATTAACTCCAGTTTTATCCTTATAAGGGATCTCCCCAACCTATCACTTCTCACCCTGCACTCGCCATTAATGTTTCTTGTAGTCTTGTCACCTGGGTCCCCCGCCACATTGTCCCTCCTACAGAGACGGACACAGACAATGAGAAAGAAGAAAGTTGGATAAATCTTAGAAGCACAGAATTTACAGTACAATCTAATCTCCCCCAGAAATGAAATATATATAATACAGAACATATCCCATGTGGCTAAACTGAAATCATTCTTTTTAGTGTTTTTTTTTTTACAGAAACCCATCTCCATGGGAACACTCATTTCTGTTATTAAACCATAAACAAAACGTTTACGAATCCATATATATAATATATAACGCCCCTCAGTCTCAGTCTCAGTCTCAGTCTCAAGTCTCAGTCTCAGTGCCGTCGCCATTAATGGACTGATGAACTCACACATGCACGACCCAGATCAGAGATCATTCTTTCTTGGAAGCTTACTGTTTCTTCTCCTTCCTCTTTCGAGAATCAAGACTCGAAGAGACGTTACCGGTTACCCCAAGTCCCAATATTTTTTCAAACAAAAATAAAAGGGAAAAGTAAAAAATAATTGGGATTCTTCTTTCAGTATTTCTCGCTCGCCTGCGTGATGGGGGGCGATGACGAGAGATGTCGGCAACGGTCGTTGTCCGGATCCTACGTGGCAGAATCAGAGAAGCATGGGAGGTGGGGCCGAGGAGAGAGAATGGCATCTCCTCACGTGAATGCCCATGTGAGGTGTGTCAGGTGGTGTCTCTCGAGTCATCACTTCTCATCATTGTGCGGAGGTTGGGAATTTGAGTCGGAGTGACGTCATCATGATGGAATTGGGGGCGATGCAGCCTCATGCTCATGTGCGGCGGAGAGGGCCAAGCACACAGCCGCGGTTTCATGGACGAGGGAGTCCAGAATATCCCGTTCGATCTCGAATACGATCGACTCTCCTTCCTCAGAGAACGGAAGCACCGTGCGCACGTTAGTGTCGGGAAGGTCCTTCTCGATCAACGCGTCGATGTCCTGAAGTACCTGGCAGTTGGCACACGGAAAACTCCTGATACGCCACCAGATCTCATCCATCAGCTGGGACCCATTCATCATCACCATCTGCTGATTCATCTTGATCAAAGGTGACGATGAGCAACCACTGCAACCCCTGTTGCCGACGCAGCTCAGCCACGGCTTCTTGCTCAGGTACGGCCTCAGAACCTCCGTCAGAATCTCGTCCACGACGTGAAATAGCAGTTTTCTGTTCCATCGATGACTTAACGAACCTGAAGAAGCAGAAACTGCGCCATTGCCACCTCTGATCAGAGTTAGAGTGTTGTTTGGGTCTTCCACAAAAGAGCGTTCGAGGTGGTGAAAAATGGATGGGTCGAGTGGGTGAGAGGGAGAGAACCATCTGGATCTGGTGAAGGGAACCATTGTGTCTCCGTCGATCCCCGTACATTTTAGTATCCTACTTACGTACTCGAATTCGGCATGGCCACCGTTGCTGCTGCCGCTATTCTTACCGTCATGATGGACGAGAGTCTGCGTCTGGCGGGCCTCGTACGTCCGGCTCGAACCACTAGATAACTGTGAACACCGTTTTGAATCGTGGGCTATTTGTACTCCCTGTTTCCCGCGTACAAAAGCGTAAAATACTTGACGTGATTAACAGTGAATTTGGCTTTATATGTTTATTTTTAAGTAAAAAAGCAATAAAAACGAAAAAAAGAAAGTTGAAGTTAAGCGGAGTGGAAATGACAGATATGGTTACCGGTGTCTGTGAGGGTGGTGGCTGTTCTTTCTTGAGTGGAACGAAGGAGGAGGGAACGGCGATGTTGACGAAGTCATTCGATAATGGCGTTTTCTTGGTTTTCTTATCGGAGATGCTTGCCTTGTTGCTTGGTGCTGCACGAACGAAAGCTTCTTCTCGCACGTTCCGGATGGTCTCCGTGGTTTGTGGAGGCTTTTTCAGACGTTGAGTGAAGCGTTCAGCGCTGGCCTTCTTGCACTTCTTCGCCGTCTGTTCTTGCTTCTGCTGCTGCTGCTGCTGTAATGCATTCAACTTTGCCGTCTTTGAAGAAGGAGCTTTGGGTTGTGACTGGTTATCCCCACATGCAGATGTTGAGGACGACAACGGTGATAGCGCTGTTGTCTGTGGTGGTGGCGAAGGTGGTGAGATCACTGAGATGGGTCGGGGAGGGCGGGGGGAGTGTGATGAGGCTTGATGATGGGAACTGGCTGAAGCGGCCATGACTGGTTTGCTCTTTGTCTCCAAGAATCTGAGCCGGGGGGAACACGCCATTGTTGACGAATTCTTGCCTGGGCTTGGGCTTGATTCATCTCCTTGTTTTGCAAGAGTAAAGCGCCTTGTTTTCTTGGACTTGGTAATAGCGAGAGCTTCATCTCCTTCGCCGGCGATGATTCTTGTGGTGTTTGTTATGTCGACGAGACCAACCCTTCTACGAGCGTTTTCTTTCACCTGCTTCACAATCTCACGAGCGTAATTGCTGGGGCTTCTGTTCTCGTCGTCTTGTCTCCACTCTCTTCTCCTCAATTTAATAAGCTTTGAAGAAGAGTAAGGCGAGCAGGGAAGCGAGTCTCTGGAGACTCGGCCAAAGTAATCACCAAATTCCTCCGTGGACAGCAGGTTTTCTTTGTTGATTTGAAGGGAGAACCTGGGATCCACGTCTGATCTTCTAGCGGCTGATATTCGGGGTGTGTCCGGCAGAGAACGGGTTCCTGTCACCTCACAGCTGCAGTCCATGAAATTGGTTCTACTCTGAAGAGCTCGCCGAGATCTAATATCTCTTTTAACTGCTGCACAGGCATTTCTCTCCTGAAGATGGTGATGGTGGTAAACCCTTCCAAATGATCTCGATCTCACATGGGTTGAGGAGGAGGAGCAGGGAGAGAAACTATCGGGTAATATGTCAAGACCCATAAGACGAGCTACGAGATTTGGGGTTTTGATCCCCGGAGGAGTACTGCTCTCTGAAGATAATTCTTCTTTCCGAGCTTTAGCTGCATTTCCTGCTTCTCTCCCTGATGTTCTTTGTTTTATCTCGACTCGAATACCAGCCATCTGTAAAATACAGAAAGAAAACAAAAAAGGCAATGATTTGGAATCGAATGAGGCAACAGGCAACAGGTTTTGAAAATCACAAACACAAACTTCGATTATAGCATACTAGTTGCATAGTTGCAGTGTCAATTTACATTTACATACAAATTGCTGTTTTTTTTTTCAAAATTCCTTGTTTTTATCTTACCGGAATATTCAAGTCTTCTTCTTCTTCTTCTTTCTTGATTGATGACAATGATGCAGAGCTAACGAACACACCTTTCTCTGATTCCAAGCTATTCCTCGGCGCTTCTACACCTAAAGTAGAGAAAACCCATCACTGAAAATTCGATTTTTTTTTCTCAAAATCTTCTTTGTGAAGACTGGAGAAAGCGAAAGAGACAGAATACCTTTGACAACAGTACTGAGGTCTTCGTGAAGAAACGGCTCAACCTTGAGCGAAGTTTGCTGCAAAGTGGAAGGAAATTGATGAAAATCAAAGAATTGAAGTACAGCACTCATGCATCCTGGGCTCTCCTTGTCCCCTCCTCTCTTAGTGGATCGACCCCAATACCACTCTCTACCCATAACTAAGCTTCTCTCTCTCTCTCTAACTTTCTCCCCCTTCTCTTCTTATTATTTTTTTTTTTCTTTTTCTCTACTTTGGAGACAAGGAAAGAAGGACCAAAGAAAGAAAGCAAGTAAAAGCAAAAAAGAGAAAAAAAGGAAATCAGAATGACAAAGACAGTGGAACCCTTAGCAGCAGCTCTCACTGAGTGAGATACTCGTGAAAAAGAAAATATGGAAGAAAAAGCTAAAGCTTGACATCCAGTGGAGTTCAGAGTTTAAGGCCCAGGAGCGGAAAAAGCGGATCCATTGATGGAGAAGAGCAGCAACAGCAGCAGGCATTCTGATTTCGGGTACAACATAATATTGTCTCGCTTTCTATACTTCTCTCTCTTCCAAATCAAAACAGCGCACATACACACTCTCTCTCTCTCTGAGTTTAGTAGTAGCAACAGCTCTCTCTCATCGGGAATTGAAATACATCAACAAAGAAAAATTGCAGGAGATGACGAAATGACCACGCGCTCTTATCTCGATTCACGATGCGATTCCTTTCCCCTCACCATGACACCTCCCACCCCACCAGGGCCGGTCCCCTACTTCCACTCCTCCCCCTTCTCTCTGCTTGCATTTTAAATGTGGAGGGAGTTTTATTAGGGATCTCAACTGCTCTCTCTCTCTCTCTCTCTCTCTCTCCTTCCCTTTGCTTCTCTATCTCCCCTACTCAGTGACCCTTTTGTCCCTTATACAGATCTTCTCTCTCCAGGCTTCAAAAGTCTCAAGTCTAGCTAACCATGGTTAATTCACCTACCTATGCAATTACATTCATTTCATCCCTTGCACTTGATAAGAGGTTTATGATTCATTGACTAAGAACACTGAATACATCCAAAAGAATAATCACACATTGCTTCTTTGGTAGATAGCATGGGGGGTCTATCAACCACCTACCCAGTACCCACATGCAATGCTAGGTGCTATCATGCCCGATTTGAATTTCACTTGTGTCCAGCATACCACAACCATATTGTCCAACACTCCCAATTCCCTTCTCTGTCTCACTTTTAATTCCACTAAGATATGGTGACTATTTCTTCTGAACATTAAACTCTGATCAAATTAAGTATCAAACAACTCCAATTAATCATCATGGGATTAGTAATCTCCAGTGTGAATCTCGAGGCCCATTTAACAGTGTGGATCTAATTAGTACTGGACTACAGCAATATTACATCCCATCCCAACTACTAATTAAAGAGGGATGCCTGAAATTAATGAGGATTCTGATGAATGAGATGGGTCAGACTTGGATGGGAAAATGAATAAAGATATAACAGGGGATGGTACACCATTCTTAAGCAGTAGGCACTAATATCAGTAAGAATAGAAGGAAGAACCTGCCCACCCTTGTAAGAAAAGAGGGAGCTAAGGGGCTAGCTCTCTCCTAGGACCCTTTTTCCAGCAGGAATGCATTAATACATCATGGGATGGGGGAGACATCTCAGCTTCCATTCTTTGTCCTTGGTGGTGAATCCGAGTCAGTTTGGGCCCCATTTTCGTCATTTTTCCTGAATGGTGACAGATTCTCTTAAAAAGGATTTATATATAAAAGCAAGAAGCATTAATTTACAAAAGAGAAGTACTATTTCAAATTTCAAAGAAGCTTATCTTCGGCGGGTAAATGGGTTAGTGTGAGGGGTGAGAGAATTGGAAGGTTCAAGGTCGGAGCTGCATCCTGATCCTGCATTCACACACACACACAGAGCAGTCTTATTATGAAAATTACGATCTCATCGTCCAAAAATGTACTCGTACACTGGCAGATACGGTTTTCTCCTTTTCTTCTCCTTATCTCTTAGGTAACTTTGGTGGTTAAAATAAGGAGACAATGTATACAGAGAGGAGGAGCGTCTGTGCTGGTTTTTTCCATAGACTGGGTTTATGGCGTTTGTCTTCACTCTTTCACATGAATCAATTTCTTTTTCTCTTTTTCCCTCTTCTTTTTAATCACTCTATATATACTTCCAAAATGGGTGAGAGAGAACATAACCCAAAAGAGTAAAGAACACAATCTAGCCTTAAAACATGGTAAAGAAATCTCATAACCTGAAAGCAGAACTCTTAGCCTTAAAGATACCTGATAAAGAATAAATGGGTCAGATCAGATCTCCCTCCATGTAAAAGTAAAACCTCCCATGAATCCTACTGTGCCTCACTTAGGGTTTGGTTGATTGGTGGCTTAAGGGGCATATTTATAACTGCTCAATTGGCTGAACTGAGTTACTTATTGTCATCTTGTCTTTTTAGTGAATTAGAAGTTAAAACATTGGAAGTTGAGTTCCTTAATTTCTGAGGCTTACTGGGTTTTCTGAACTGTGATTCGCATTATTTTATGACTAGTTGATCCAAGATCCTCCACTGTGAAGTTGATTATAGTACTTGATCACTCAAGGTAGACAATAATGATGATGGAGATTAATATGTTTGGGAAAATTCCCGATTAGTATCTTAGTCCTTTGAGCCTAGTGCCATTTTGGTCTCATACTTTAAAATGCGATAATTCAGTAACCGCACTTTCAAAAAGTGAAGTGTCAATCTAATACCTGTTGTTAACCAACTCGTTAATCAACCCTTATGTAGAATTTGAAAAGACACAAAGACCCTTCGAGTGTCATCTAATTTTCTTTATCAATCATCCAAGCATTGATAAAAAATAAACATTCTCAAATCCTTGCCTCTACTATTTAAGAAAGTTGGGGTCACCAGAATACCCACTAAGATGTGACCCCAACTTTCTTGAATTGAAGAGACAAGGATTTGGGACTATTCATTTTTTGTCAACGTTTGGATGGTTGATAAAAAGAATTAGATGAAACTCAAAGGGAATTGTGTTTTTTCAAATACCATTTAACGGCTGGTTAATGGGGTGATTAACGACAGGTACTGGATTGACACGTTTTAAAAGTTTGGATACTGAATTGTCGCGTTTTAAAATTCGGAGACCAAGGTGGCATTAAGCCCAAAATACAAGATACTAATTGGGAATTTTCCCTTAATGTTTTTTGCACATAGATTAAGAAATTACATTGAAAATTATTCAAGGAAATACTAGTCCAATTTCCCATTATGCACCTCTAGTAGTTTGTCTTCACACATATATATTTGCAATAAGGAAACAAATTATTTTTGTAAAAGCAATGCCAACCCTTTTCTTTGGAAAATGGCTTGTGATCCAAGCCTATATCTACATTTATGTACTCTTTAAAATGTGTGAATGTGCCTTTTAGATTTCTGGATTGGTCTTTTTGATTAAAATAGTCTTATTTCTTGGTTTACCCAATTTTAATGTGAGGGTAAAATTGCGAGGAGATTGGTTTGCTCATTTATTATGCATCATATGTAATAAATAATATGAAAAAATACCATTAATGTTTTTGGTTATTTTAATATTGTGGCTAAACCACCTATATTTATAGCTATATTTGCTCTCTGAAAACATGCTCAAATTGAACTTTTCCTTCTAAGCGCTATCTCATGGTCCTGCAGTCTTCAATGATATGCTTTAATCTCTACCGCACCGCAGTTTATCATTGAGGCAGTCAATGACTAGTTTTGAATCACCTTACCTGTTTCTGAAATTACTTGCTATATTGTGGGCTCCCAAGCAGCCCAAGCTTCAACTAAGTTAACAATGGTAAATCCGATTTTATAGGCTTTGAGGTCAAGAATATTTCCCAAATGATCCCTTGCAATACAACCTATAGAGCAGTGATCATTTAGGCATTTACGCATGAGGCATCAAAATTTATTTTAATAGCATCTAAACATGGATTCATCCATCTTATCGGGATCCAACTCTTTTCCTTAGGAGCTGATTTAATCTCCCAAAAAGAGTTGAGAGCTCTGTCAAGAATGATAGCTGGAGGTAAGATGGTCAAATATGTCTCTATAGATTGATTAGTTTCTTTATAAAGCTACATTTATAACTTGAAATTCTAGTAGTTATTGTAAGGATTCCTTATCCAAGGTTGTAAATGGAGAGTCTGGATTTGCCCGCCACAACACATTGTTGGCTATGTTCACCTAATTGCATATATGGAACATCGATTGTATTATAATCACCGGTATTCTCAATGTGTGGTTAGATGAGCGTGACTAGCAATGTATTGTGGTCAGCAGATCCAACCTCGTAAATGGATGAGAATAAATTGAATTTGAATCCCAATCGAATATTGACTAACATTAATAAATTAAAGGGTCATGTACTAAAACATCCCAATAGATTCACTTATTCACTAAATTAAAACTACTCTATAATCCGTATGATCAAATTTAATTAAAAGAAAAGGAAAAGGAAATGTCTGTTCTTACCCCTATTAAAACTCAGACGATCATTACTTTCAATCAATTTTGTTACGATACATTCTTACAGATTAAGAACCTGGATGGCATTGTTCTCAATTCTTCTTCCTTATGCTGAAACCAAACATTATTTGGTAGATCTGGAAACTAAAACGTATTTCTTTCCAAAAGTTTGATATAAAATGCTAGGGATTTTTTTGAATGAACAACTCATTGGCCCATTCCCTTAAACATTTTCCGCTTGATTAAGGTGGTCATATGATCGCCATTTTCAGATAGTACAATTTTCTTGTAAATTAAAAGTTACCACAGAAAAAAAAAAAAAAAAAAAAAGAAAAAGAAATTGATTCCAGTTTCAATAGCATCTTGGCATTAATATTTGTAAGCTGGATCCGTTTCTTGGCAAGCAAGACAAATAAAATATTGCTAGCTAGAAGCAAAAAAAAAAAAACGACAAATAATATATTGTCTTTCAAAAAGTCAGATGTATTATTAATCTTCAAATTATTATTATTATATTTCGAAATTTTCACGTGCATTACACGTACCCCCTACTACTTTTCCTAAAAAGAAAAAAATACTTGAAACGAAATTATCGAGCATCAGTCCAATGTTAATGTTGTTGATTGATTGTGCTTAATTCTGAGTAATTAAGCATTCTTTCTTGATCACCTTTTAGTCTTCGATCCACACACGTCCAGTAGAAGAATGGAAGCGTAATTTTCGATTATTGATGGTGCTAATTCATTTGTGATTGTACTATATAGCTAGGCATAGCTCTATTCTGTGGGAAAGACCCAACTGTGACAAAATTACGTCCTGTGGCGCTAGCTAGTTTTGTCACTGGTGAAACGACTCCACTTATATTCCTCACAGTTTAGCTTAATGCTTCTAACTTGTCTATATTCAGAAAAGTGGAAGACTTGTTGCTTTGTATTTATAGAGTTTAAGAATGCCATGCAGCTGTTTTTTTTATTTTTTCCTTTTAAAATGTGTATGTATTTAGGGATGACAATTTTCCTCATCACTATAGATACCCAATCCCCACCCCGATTCTAATTATATATATTAAATATATATTATTTATATTATATTATATATATATATCAAAATATATTTATAACTTAAAAATTTTCCTTACTTTAAGTAAATTTATTTTTCAAAAAAATACTTTTAATGAAAAAAAAAATTCGAAGATTTGGGTCCCATGGGAAACCCGTCTACATTGGGGATTTGGGATGAAAAGTAATTTTTATCCTTGACTACGATCGAAATAAAAAAGGAGGAATATGATCCCTGTCCCATTGCCATTCCTACATGTACCAGTGTATCCATTCGTATTGTAACAATATTATTTTAATCTTTGGTTTTAAGTTGTTAACTTTCAACTCGTAAGTCGTAACCAAACTTTTAAAATCAAATGCACAAGTTAAGAAAGCTTATAATAGAGAACAAT